CCTCCTGCTGCTGTTGCTGCTGCTGCTCCGCCTTGGCAACCTCCTGCTGCTGTTGCTGCTGCTCTGCTCCTCCTGCTGCTTCATTCTGCTGCTGCTGCTGCTGCTGCTGCTGTTGCTCTGGTCCTTCTGTGGCGGCTGCTCCTCCTCCTTGGCCCATTTCTTTTTTCTTTTGGAGATTCCAGGGAAGGGATAAGGGATGGAGGAGAGGGTCGTAACAAACCCAGCTCTCTTCTTCATTAAGCAACTAACTTGTCTGAAGTTGTTTTTCTTTTTCTGTACGCTCTTCTGTAAAACTTACCGTCCGTTCGGCGAATCTGCCAGTTTGCCTGCACTGCATGCCTAATCTTGCCTATCGTAGTGGTGAGAACTTAAGCTTGACTCCATCCATACATATCGGACTCTTGAGAATTCCTATCTTCAACCCCCCCCCCCTCCCTCCCGTCCCTCCAACCCCCAACAATAACAGAGGATCCAGTCTATTGGCAGGGGGCTAGCTCAGCCTAGCTGCACCAGTAATTATTTGACGTTTCTTTTTTTCTTAAGTTTTTTTGCCCTCCATGGAAACTTGAGCTTGATGCCGTAAGAACTTAGTTTTTTTGCATGTTGGCTTGTGTAGCGTCATGGGGTTGACGGAGGCAAAGAATGCAGGAGCAATTGCAATGTTTGGTGAGAAGTACGGGGAGGAAGTGAGGGTTGTAACGGTCCCGGAGATCTCAATGGAGCTATGTGGTGGAACACATGTTAGAAACACCGCAGAGATCAGAGGGCTAAAAATCATCTCAGAGGCGGGCATTGCGTCGGGAGTCCGTCGGATTGAAGCAGTTGCTGGCCCGGCAGTCCTCGAGTATCTGGACGAGAGGGAGCGTATTGTACGGCACCTAAGTTCGCAGCTGAAGGTGAGAATGCCGCAGCACCTGCGCTTTTTTTTTGGCTGGGAACCACCAGTCCATTTCGCAGCTATTTTGTTAACTGACCGAGGCTACCAGCCGGGCCGCCTGGGTCACAATATTCCCCGGGCGGCCTCGGCTGTGCAAGGACCAGGGAAGGTTCTAGCAAAAAAAAAAAAAAAAAAAAAAATCAAAAAAATCCACAAAAAGTGCCAAATATGCAGAAAAATAAACTGAACAACTCCCGACCAATCCCATCCGTGACCGCAGCCACAAAACTCTCAAACCCTAACTACTCGCCACAAGGGCCCTTTTCCCCAACTGCAACCAACAAATTCAATCAAAGGTTGTTCAAACCCTAACTGCTTGCCACAACCAAACCCAGAAAACCTCAAGCCATACTACCGCAGTTTATTGCTAATATTAGAACATGCCCAAAATCAAATCCTATTAGAGCGCAAAACCAAACTTCTAAAGAGCAACTCCTCCTCATCTCCAAATTCTACCAGTTATAACTACCCACGTGTCTCAAAAACCGAATAACAAAAAATCAAACCCTCTAGTACTCCACCGAATCCCCAAAAACCCGAACAAACTATCTACACCAACTCTATTTTACTACAAAAACTACCTCTGGTTAATCCACGTCAAAAGCAGTCGAGATCAGTCGATTCCATAAAAATTAGCAAGCCATTCAACATCCCTACAATTACTAAAGAAGAAACAAGCATACCTAATTAGCAAAATATTTAATCTCTCTCTCCAAACGCTTGGATTATATGATTTATATCTAATCAACTATAGACAACAATGTTTTGAAGAGAAAAGAAAACAAAATAACAAAAAACAATCACAACATCCTAAATCATCCCTAAATTACTAGTCCTATAGTAAAACAAACTGAAAACGGTCACACCATTACCCGTCAGATTCTGCAATTTCCGTTGCCAATCAGATCTGAAGAATCATGAGGCGCAAAAACCGCCGATCCAGCTGGAGAATAACGCAAAAAGTCAGCAGCCTCGTCAATACCTGCTGGGGTTCGCCAATAAGCACCCATCATCAGCCTGCGACTGTATTACATCGCGACGCCTCCAAAGGGCAGCAACAGCCATCGTTCAGCAAGAAGCTGGCAAACTCAGCATCGCCAATCACCGGCCATGGCTCATTAGAAACGTGAACAGTAAACCCGACAGTGCAGAAGAGAGCTATCAACGTCAATATTGCCAGCACCATGTCCAATCAGCATAAGGAAATGAGAATAGGTTTCGTATCTGTAACCAGGGGGCAACGCCCCTGATCAGGTTGCAATTCTGGTATAAACGGTGCACAGATCCTGCTCTTCGACCGCCCTCACAGCTTCCTCCATCCAATCACGGTCATTCAGGATTACCGACCGAGGTCGGCCAAGACTAGGCTATGGCGGCGCCATGGTAGCACCTTCTCGAAGCGGCTTCCCCTTCGGCACCGATGCACCCTGAAATCCCTTCCGCTTCCTCTGGCACGGCACAGACATGCTCGCAGTTGCACCAACGCGATCCCCGTTGCCCACGCGCCGTAAGGGACGCGTTAGCGCTGCGTTACTACCGCAGCGCTAACACGCCCGGTCACACAACTTTTGCCTCAGGGTCACATCAAAATTCTTTACCAAATTTAAAATAAAATTTAAAAAAAAAAAAAAAAAAATTACTGTTATTGTTTTTTTTTTTTTTGGACCGGCTGGGCAATTGGTCCCAGGCGACGCTGGTAGCCTAGTAAATGACCACATTAACAGGGGCTCGGCCTAGCGGGAAGGAAAAGGCTGACGGCACCAGGCAAAAAGAAAAAAATACGTCCTACAGGCGGCTGCTCGTTTTTCTTTGGTGCACAGCAGAAAAAAACTGGGTCGGTGAAAAAAAGGCTCGGAGGGACTGGTGGTTTGAAGTTACGTCAGCAAAACCCCTTTGCTCTCGGGCTTTCAGCTGTAAACCCGAGAGGAAAGGTTTTGCGCACGGGGCGATGAAGGGTGGTGTAGTATCTGCGGATATTTGCTGTAGTCCTTTGGATTGTATGATGATAAGCACATTGATCATTGTTGCCTTCTTCTTTCTATTTTCTCTCTGTTCCTCCCGCGGGGTGAAAGTCCTAAGATTAAGTTGTCCATCTGAGCTCGAGATGATTTCAAGTTTGAACTTTGAACTCATGATCTGTTGATTAGTAATTGGCAAATTGCATACGTTTACCTTTGCGGACCAGGTGGGTGGAGGAGGAAACACTCGGGAGGATCAAGCAGGGTCCTGCCGGAGAAGATGGTTGAAACTGTAAGAGTGTAAAGTTAAAAAAAAAAGTTTTGAAGTTTGAAGTTTAAAGTTTAAAGTTTTAAACGTTAAACCGTAGTTTGCATCGTGGTTATGGCTCCAGCATAACCACGATGCAAACTTGGCTTAAACCGTCAATTACATGGTGTCTGGGCTGGGGTTCAGTGTGAACCATGGTGTAAAACAGTAAAACCTTTGGTTACGTGATTGCTGGGTCCAAGTGTGGATCTGGGTGGGGGTGCGGGTCTGGGTCCAGTGCCAGGTCCGGATTTGGTTCTGGGTCCTAAGCATGGCAGCGATCCGGACCTCCGGACAGGGCTCCGGACCGTCCGGTGAACGTGTCCGGATCCCGGTCCGGATTCCAGACCCTTTGGCCAACGGCCAATTTTTTTTTGGCTGTCCAGGGCGTTTCGTCTCGCCCAGGGCCGCCAGCCAAAAATACGAGCAGATTTTTTTTGGCCCTGAAGGGGCATCCGCTAGGGCCAGGATCTTTTTATTTTGCCTGTGGGAAGTTTTCTTCCTTCTATGTTTCTGCCCGCTTGAATGCCGTCCTGCATCGTGGTGGCTTCGTAGTGGGCACAGTCTTTGAACTCATCCTCCCGCCTTGCGAGTTCGGCCGCCCCCTCTCCCATAACAACGTTCGAGCTTGCATGCCCGCCACTACTGCCATTGTCAGAGGGAGGAAGAAGCAGGGCAACGAGGCGGCCATAGCAGGCAAGGAGCAGACGCGGAGGAGGCGCAGGAGGGCTGGCAGTGGGTGCAGCGAAGGCCGCGCGAGGAGCCCAGCAAGGAGCAGTGCAAGCAGCTCTCTCTCTCTCTCTCTCTCTCTCTCTCTCTCTCTCTCTCTCTCTCTCTCTCTCTCTCTCTCTCTCTCTCTCTCTCTTGTCATTTTGTTGGCATGGTCTTCCTCCTTTCTGCTCCCTCTCTCTCTCTTGTCGTTTTGTTGTCATGGTCTTCCTCCTTTCTGCTCCTCCATCCACCTCCTCCATGTCTGCGTCCTCCTCCCGCTCCTCCTCCTCCTCCTCGTCTTGGTCATCGTCATGTACTTGCTATAACCTCCCCCGCTCCCTTCCCTGCTCATGCCACGTGGCACCCTTTTTCCTTTTTTTTTCGGATCTTTGTCGTCGTGTTCCTCGTCTTCATCCTCCTCCCGCTCCTCCCCGTCCACGTCTTTGCCCTCATCCTGCTGCTCCTCCACGTCTTCACCCTCCTCCCCCTCATCTTGGTTGTTGACATGTACTCGCTATAACCTCCCCTCCCCGCCCCCACCTGTGCCACATGGCCTTTTCGTTGTTTTCAACCCATTTTTTAAATTTAAATCCGGACATGTACACCATCCGGACAGGGATCTGGACAGGCCGGTCCGGATATGTCCGGATTAGCCGGAAAATACCGGAAATCCGGACGTTCGGATGAAACCGGGAAATCCGGCTTCCGGTGTCCGGACTTGTCCGGTTCACTTGTCCGGTTCACTTGTCCGCCGCTGCTATGGTCCTAAGTAACTATGGTTTAAGCCTGGGTCTGGATACGGGCCAGGGTCCAGGTCCAGGTCCAGATATGTGGTGTCTGCCTGGGTCTGGATACGAGATTGCAAAAGCACTCATCCATAAAGTCCACAAGCATCGTTAAGAACCACACAAGAAGAAGATGGAGGAAAGGGGGGAGGCAAGAAGAAGGAGGAGAAGAGAGGGGAAATAGAACCGCACGTGATGAAAAAAGGTATGTCATAATACCCTGGATACGGGCCAGGGTCCAGGTCCAGATCTGCATCTGGGTATGGGTATGGGCCCTCGTCTCCAGGTCCAGACGGTAATAGACAAAAAGTGCGTTTATATCCTTGAGACAACGCAAGCACACCTCCCTGTGACTTTGTCCATCAGGCTGGCACGGCAGCGGGTTCTTCGGGGTTGCTTGAGGGATTGACCGGGGTTTCCCACTCTCCAAAAAAAGGCTCCGGCCTTCAACATCGTGGCTGCAAGCCTGCAAGGCTTAGCCTTAGTAGGTGTTGTTCATTGAGCCTTACAGCGACAGGATGACAACTAACCGTAGTTGATGATAGAGAAATCAGATCACGATGTTCCCCGGCCTTGACATGGTGGGGGGAAGTCCCGAAGCCTGGCTGTGGGTGGGAATAGGAGTCCTTGTTCTGACGGAGTGGAGGGAGGGATCACTGTGTGGGTGGGTTTGACTTGTGTGGCCTCATCTGTCAAATGCAGGTAAAAGCTGAGGAGGTCCCAGCGCGAGTGGCAGATCTGCAGGAAGAGGCAAGAGCATCTAGGAATGAAGTGGCGCTGTTGAAAGCGGCGTTGGCAGTAACCAAAGCAGAGCTGCTTGCAGACCAGGCGGAGGTCATCGGCGGGAATTGCAAGTATGTGATCCAACGGGCCACCGCACCATGTCACCCCCTTCGCATGCGTCATGTGCCTCACCCACCCATCGTCCCTGCGCTCGGTTTGCAGAGAGGGGGGTCTTCTTTCTGCCTCCCCTGGGGTTGTGTACCAGCCTGCCGCGTTCCTCAGTTCCCCGTAGGAGTCGTCTTTCAGACAGACTATCAAGAAGCTTAAAAATCTGAAGCATGGGTGTATAATATATCTTGCTGTATTTACATGACTTGCCGGGAAACCGGACTGACGCTCACCACAATGGACATCGAGCCAGCACCATAAGGAAGGTGTTGTTTGCGTTTTTTTAATAATAATAATAATAAATCGAAATATATGAAAAAAGAAAAAAAAGGAATCAGACTATCAGCTCTGGGGCTGCCTTCTGAACCATTTATAACTTTTCTTTTTTCTCTTCAAATGGCCCCATGAAGGCAGCACAGGATAAGCTACCGGGTAGTTCTAATATGTCATGCATGCCACAGCCAAAGGTCGTTGCAGTTGAACAGGGTGGGATGTGTGACCCTCTCGTGTAGTTCGGAGAGTATGTCTTTTTTTTTTTCTTTTTTTCTTTTTTTTCTTTTTTTTTTTACCACAGAAAAGCTCCATCTATTGGTGGGGAGCAACACCTGCTGGAAACCGGGTCCAGCGTCCCATAGATATATGTCTAGTATTCAAAATTACAAGAAAGCGTACCTTGTGCTTTCTAGTCGTTTTTACTATCGGTTGATTTAGTCGGCGGTGAGTCGTTTTTACTATCGGTTGGTTTAGTCGGCGGTGATTCGTTTTTACTATCGGTTGGTTTAGTCAGCGGTGTTATCTCATTCCTCTACGAGCTCCATCGGCTCATGTTGTCATATCTGATGTCTTTTCCAATCTTCCTCATCTGATCTCTTTGCAATCTTACCCTTCGATAACCACAAGTTCCACAACCACGACCACCTTTTGAACCTTCTCCTCGATGAGTTGAGTTGAGTTGAGTTGAGTTTTCTTCTTCGAGCTTCGCCTCTCTCGCGATTCCCTCCACTTGCATCTTATTTCTGCCTCTTCGGGCTTCCGTGGCCGCCTACGAGTCATCGTTGTTCATCAGCTCACCTCTTTTTTCTCTTAAACCACCTCTACCTTTGAGCCTCTTTTTGCCAAGTTCCAGTACAACTGTGCGCCAAGCTTTTGCCAAAGCGCCAGCGCAACCTTTTCTGTTTCATTTGGCTGGTGCCGCCAGCCATTTTGGTCCGGTGACGCCTGGCCTTCGCCAACCTCCGCACAATGCGGTATAGGTTATATGTACGACTTCGCCTTCCAGCCAGGAAGGTAGTGTACTAGTGGTAGACTGGCAGTATTAAAAAAAAAAGAAAAAAGTAAAAAAAAAAAGGTGGTATGCGTCATTGCTGTTCTCTGGTTTACCTCCCATGGTCTTTGCACATGTTTCCTTCCAGATAACTTTTAGTCTCCCTTTCTTAATCGGTCCTAGTTGGTGGGCTGAACCGGATTCTTTCCGGTTAAGCCAATGGAGGGGGTGGAGGGTTTTTTAACTTTTTTTTATGCACAGAAGCACAAACATCAGGTGAGGACCAGGGGTTAGGTGTGGGAAAGTGGCTTACCCCATTTTAGCTGGATGAGAGAGAGAGAGAGAGAGAGAGAGAGAGAGAGAGAGAGAGAGAGAGCAACCGAGCGACCGATGGCCGGATGGCAGACAAACGAACGGACTGCCCGAACCCACCGAACGACCAACCGACGGAAGGACGGACAGACAGATGGATCGAGAGACAGACAGACAGAACGAAGGACAAGATTGCACATTTTGCCAATCTCTTTATCTTGGGGCCACTAAGGCCGCGTTCAATCAGGAAAAAAAAAAAAAAAAAGAACAAGAGAAAAGGGAGTGGGTGAAGTGGAGGAACTTGTAGGCTCTGTAGGCTTCCTCTGTGCCCATGGAAGAGTTGTGTTCTGTCAGCTACATATTAGGACGGGAAGTCTGTTTTTGTCTTTTTCTGCGAAGGATTGATGGCAAATCCTACATTTTTCTGTGAAGGGTTGATGGCAAATCCTCTAACCTATAAAGGCTGCCTCACATTTTGTTATCGTTTGAATTTTTTTGGTCATGTTCGGACTTATATTTCTAAATGATGTTGTTGCTGGACAAGATGGGGCCTCGTTCCAGTGATCGCCAAATGTGCAAAATGAGAATGAATCTTCCACTAGAACGTGAGAAGATGCACTGCCAGATTTGTTATCCTTTGTGCATGTGGCGAGTAGTGGAGCGAATGAGGCCCATGGTCTTTGAGTTTCTTTGAGTTTCTGTGAGTCTCTTTGAGTCGCTCTTTGAATCTCTCTTGTTGGAGTCTCTCTCTCCTTGAGTACAAATAAAAAGGTGTTTCGTTCCTGCAGATTGCTCTCTAGTTATAAAAAAAAAAAAGAAAAAAAAAAGGATTGCTCTCTAGTTAGTATCTATCTAATGATTCTAAATTTCTAAACTAATCTAGAAATGAAATTCCTTCTTATCTCCTTCTTTGAGTCTCTCTGTGAGACTCTCTGTGAGAGACTCTGCCAGTCTCTGTCGGTCTTTTTCAATCTCTTTGAGTCTCTCCCTGAGCTTGAAAATCTGTCAAAAAAAAAAAAAAAAAAAAAGGATCTTGTCAATTGCGGTACTGTTGTCAAAGAGTATGGCCTGTATAGCATCTGGTTTTTTTTTGTTTTTTTTTTTCAAAAGGAGAAAGAAAGAAAGAAAGAAAGAAAGAAAGAAAGAAAGCCACTGGGAAAATCCAAACACGTGGAATGCATAGGATCTGTAACATTGAAAAATAATAAAATATATATAAGAAGTTGCAAAATATGAAGCAAATTAAGTTGTAATTAACAAAGAAAAAAGAACAACAGCTGTCAGAGTCACTTGCCAGCCTGACAACGCTATCCATGTCGATCATTAAAGTTACCGAAAGCATTTCTCTTGATTGTGAAAAGTTTCTAAGAACCCTTTATTGTTTTCTTGTTTAACAATAACCGGAAACGAAAACAAAAAAAAAAACTTTGGTTCTATGCCATGCCTCGCAGGGTGATTGTAGCGCCACTGGAGGCGGTCGATCCAGAGTCGTTAAGGCTTGCGGCTGAGAGGTTACTCCAACGTCTAGGCGATCCCGCAGCTGTCGTACTCGGTTCCGTTCCTGAGGAAGGGAAAGTGAGCCTCGTGGCGGCATTCAGCGACTCCATCGTGAAATCTGGTGTCCAGGCTGGCAAATTCATAGGCGCGGTTGCAAAAGTGTGTGGAGGCGGAGGAGGAGGGAGGCCCAACATCGCTCAGGCGGGTGGGAGGCTGCCAGAGAAACTCCCAGAGGCCTTGGAAAAGGCGAGGTCGGATTTGCAGGCGGCGATAATTACCAAGAAACAGTAATTCCTCTGCCGAGGTCTCACACATGCGCATTCTCCGTTTCCAGGCCCGTGGATCTTCACGGTCTTTTTTTTCCTTTTTTTTCCTTTTTTTTTTTTTTTAAATCGATCCTCACGGTCTATTGTGGTTCAAAATGCCGAATTCTGGTAAAGAGGGGCCTTGCCCCTGAGAAAGGTCCTTAGATAGAGCAGAGCTTTCGGGTGCTGGTCCCTCCCTCCCTCCCTCCCTCCCCAGAACAGAAACGAGCCTTCTTGTGTTTTTGTACTAAAAGCCAAGTTTGATGCAACAAGGAGGGCTCCTTGCCAGTCAGAGCATTCAGCAATGGTGAGGGAACAAATACACCGCCACATCTCAGCTGCCAGGGGGAATGCGAAGGAGAACGGCCCGACATCATGCATGCAGGTTGGCGGAACTTTGCAGGGGAAGCCTGCTTCCAGAGAGGGGGGGTCTCATCTGGAGTCTGCAATCACGAACAACGATTCATGAAGTCATCCAGGTGTCATCCAGGGGTGTCATCCAGGTGTCATCCAGGGATCATCCAGGGGTCACCCAGGGGTCATCCAGGGGTCATCCAGGGGTCATCCAGGTGCGATCTAGGCTTCAGCCAGGGGTGTCATCTAGGGTCGTCCAGGTGTCATCCAGGGGTGTCATCCAGGGGTGTCATCCAGGGGTGTCATCCAGGGGTGTCATCCAGGGGTGTCATCCAGGGGTCATCCAGGGATCATCCAGGGGTCATCCAGGGGTCATCCAGGGGTCATCCAGGGGTCATCCAGGGGCGATCTAGGCTTCAGCCAGGGGTGTCATCTAGGGTCGTCCAGGTGTCATCCAGGGGTGTCATCCAGTGGTCATCCAGGCGTCATCCAGGCGTCATCCAGGCGTCATCCAGGCGTCATCCAGGGGTGTCATCCAGGGGTCATCCAGGGGTCACCATGGGGTTTCATCCAGGTGCGATCCAGGCGTCATCCAGGGGTGTCATCCAGCTGTCATGCAGTCAAGACAGTGCGATAATTCTTGTCAGACAAACATACCGTGTCGGTGGGAGATGCAAGTAGTAATGTATCTGACCTGAATTCTGGTCAGATGCAGTCAAGACAGTGCGATAGTTCTCGTCAGGCACACATGATATTTATTGACTGCCCTGTGTCGGGTGTAACGCAGGCTAAGTCCAGTTCTGCGGACTGGTATTGATAATTATGCCCAACAACCTGAGGTTTTGCCAAACAAACATACCAAAGAGAAAGGTGGAGCAGCAGTGGTAGGGAGTGCAGTGGCAGTGGGGAGAGGGCGGCAAGCAGCTCAGATTATACATTCCTGAGGTTTCAGTCTATTTTTCAGAATTCATTCCATGTCATGAATTCAGTGTTGTGCTTTGCTTACCGGATTCGTTTCCGTTACCCGCATTCCAACGCCTTCCTCTTCTGTCTCCGTCCTTCGATTCCAGAATCCATATATTGTTCATTGGGGCTATGGTACCACTTGTCTGGATCAGGCCCAAGGTTCCGCTTTCCCGGACCCAAGTCTCCATCTTGTTTTTAGCCGCCGATCTTGATCTGAAAGATGAAGATAATCGTTTTGTGTGGGAACCTCTATGAAAAAGCGTAAATGGTCCTTCAGGACATCCGCTAAAATTTGAACAATACAGAGAATGAAGATTCGCATGGGCCCAGCGCAAGGATGACCCGCATAGATCGAGAAATGGTCCAAGAAGAAGAAAAAAAAGAAAAAGAAAAAAAAAAAAAAAAAAAAAAAAAAAAAAAGCCTAAAAGAGTGATACGACCTGTGCAATTTCATCTAGTTGACATGCTGTTGTAAAATGGATTCCCCCCGCTTGTTTCTGGCCGTCGATCTCAATTGCAAAGATCAAGATCGATGGCCAGAATAGGAGAATCCGAGCAAGTGGTGCACTTTATGGACAGGGACTTTGAACCTCGAAGATAGCTGCTGGCAGCTCCCCTTTTTTTTTTTTGCCTTTGTTTTCTTTTCGAAAGGCAATCATTTCACCAGACCATATTGGCTATTAATTTCACAAACATTGCCGGTTGATCAGCGGACTACATTCTTTACATCTGGTCGAGTTTAACTGTTTAAGTCATTTCTTAAACCACCAGTTGGTAGCCCAGGCTTTGAAAAAAAGGCGTGCAGGTTAACACGGCCCACGGGAAGTCTGGGAGTGTCCATCAGGAAAAGGCTGGCGGCGCCAGGCAAATTGGAAGGTCAAATGCTTCGGATTTCTTAGGGACGGGCAAAAGAACCCATCAGAAGAACGAGTCTTCGAAAAAGCCGAAACGTTTTTCATAGTTGAGTCTTGGAAGAACTGGTGGTTCAAGGAGGGACATTGTGTACAAGCGCCCGAGCCGGATTGCTGAATCTGCCCAGGGCATTCGGTGGTCAGTGGCTGGGGAGATTGGGACACATCGAAACTAATGGAAACTTTCGCAGATGGGAACCATACGGACTGCAGCTGGGCAGAATTCAGGACGGCAAAATACTACAAAATTACAAATTCATTAATGAAAATATGAATTCTGTTTCCCCTGTCTTTTATGGCACACCTGATGGCAGCCAATGGCCATCAATCAGGCAGCAGTAAGGGACCTAACCTGTTTGAGGCCCCCTGCCATTGTAGATGGCTCCACTGTGCTGGGGGGGGGCAGCTGCATGTGCTGGAAACCCTAACCCTAAACCCTAAACCCAGTAAGGGACCTAACCTGTTTGCGGGCCGTTGGTTTAGAATATCTGGTGGCAGACACAATCCGTAGGGACATCTGGTGGTTTAGAGTACCAGCCTTCTCAGGCAAGCAATGACAGTCTGGTAATCTATTGCCATTTCAGGGTCGGACTTGCCACCCTCCTTGGTGCTTCTGATTGCGCTCTCTACTCTTTCCCTTGCTTGCTACCGTCTTTGCCCGAATAGAATGCCCGGTCATTATAGCTGTATCTATACTGACGGTCGCCTCGAATGCAGCGATAATGACCGGGCATGAAGACAGTAGTGTCTTCTTTCCCCTGCTGCACGGGCTGCGTGTGGAAGGACAGGGTCGCGGCGGTGGTGAAGGGAAGGTTTTCCCTTTCCGTATCTCGATCTGCCCCACCCACACTTCAAAGTGGGAGTGGCTGAAGACCAGGGGCAGCCTTCCTCTTCCTCCTGGCCCTGTTGATGTTCTGGACGAGACAATTGTACATCTATGAAAAGGGAGGTGGGCAGTAAAAATAATGTCCATCTGTTGCTGCTGACTGCACCTGCGGCTGTGCATGCCGCTGCTGCAGTTAACCGCCGCTGCAGCACCTATGTGTGCTGCTGGTCAAGTTGCTTGACTTCTTTGTCCCCCTTTTGCGGTTGTTGTTGTTGTCCTGCTCTTGTTGCTGCCGCTGCTTCTTCTGCGCATGTTGTTACTCCTACTGCACTGCATGCTGCTCCTGTTGCTGTTGCTGCTCCTGCTGCTGCTCCTGCTGCTGCTCCTGCCGCTGCACTTGTTGAATGAAGCTCCTGCTGCTGCTCCGGCACTTGTTGCTGTTGCTGCTCTGCTGCTGCTCCGGCCCTTGTTGATGTTGCTGCTGGTGTTGCAGCCACTACACCTGTATGTGCTGCTGCTGGACCTCACAAGTCTGGAATCCACCTGCTGTGCATGCTGCCAGTGGCGCAAAGCCCACACCGCTGCCTTGCATGAGGAGGCACAACTGCACACCATGCAGCATCCTTGTCAATGTGTTTCTGCACCCTGGCCTGATCCGCGTCTGCCAGGGTCCAGCCTTGCATGAGGAGGCACAATTGCACACCATGCAGCATCCTTGTCAATGTGTTTCTGCACCCTGGCCTGATCCGCGTCTGCCAGGGTCCTTGTTGCTGTCCTGTCCTCCTCATCAAGGCGGTCCCTACCTTGTCAGACCGGCATTGTAATGGCACAAGCAAGTTTGCAGGAAGAGTCGATACAGCTGCGTGATGTGTGGTGTTATTGTTATCCAACGTTGTCGTTGGCTCCGGGTGGACGATTTTTTAACTCAGATCCCGCTCCTTCTCCTCCTCAACTTGTTCGTTCTCCACCCCCATCCGGGGCTTGCTCTTTGCTCTTTGCTCCTTGCATTTTGCAGCAGTTGTGTTCTCTTGCTTCCTTCCCCACTCGAGATCATGTAGTTGTCGCTGCTTTTGCTCAAACCAAAATCACCTCAACCCCACACATTGGGAATCCTCCCCCGCAGGGTCTCGGTCAAACATGCTTGCCATTGTGCCGCCTCGGTGGCCCAAAGGCCCTCAGAAAATCCATGATCATTTTAGGATGGAGGCTTCATGCCATCCTTCACACTTTTCGAACTGCATTGCAGTTGCATGTTCCGGTGTATGCAAACGCTCTTTGGCAAACTGGAGTTTGAGAGATTGTTTCTTCTCTTGTTGTGGACCAATTCAAGGGAGGATCAATTTCTTTTGGAGGTTGTGGTCGTGGTCCAAATTGTTGTCACTCTTGTGGCAAGCTTTTGCAGGGTTTTCGCTGTAGGCTGCCACCGTTATGCAGTTGCCTTGCTTGAATGTACCCCACGTGCGCCCCTTCACTTGTTGTTGCTTTGGTGACTTGCGGTGAAAAGCCCATAGCCTGTGTCATAGATTGATATGAGAGTGGAGTGTCCCCTGAACCCCCACCTCTCCTGACCAGACTGTGTCAAAAGTACTTTATGGCCTTTTCCTCTACGGAAGCATTCTTGTCCAACACCAATTTGTGGTCCCTCCTAAGGGAGAAGAGGAGGAAGTCTGGTGCATAGGCCAGTTGGCGCATCTTCTTGCAACAACTCGCACGACATTACCTTGCTACTCTACCGTAAAGCCAACAATGGTCGTTAAGCGGCTGTGAATCAACTCCCCTCACCTGTGAGGGCGCCAAACCATCATGACCTATCCTTGTCAATACCTCGTTGACTGGCCTCATAACCTTGATGATCCACTCGAGTTCATCCCACCACTCGTCTAACTTCATTGCAGATAAATATTATCAACAGTGTCCCTAAACACCCTTGTGCACCAATGCATGCCCCTCCACCCTTTGTCCATCATCGCCTAGCGCATCTACCTCCTATCATGCAACCTTTCCAACGTTCCGTACATGGATGCAAAGTGAACCTTGGTCGACATTATGGATGACTTTGTCTTATCCAGCGAGCAAACACTTCGAAAACAAGCCATTGTACAATGGTGTATCTTGATGAACTAACCGTCACTTTCACCCTCTTCATGTGGTTTCTAAGGTAGATTGGTGACGCCTTCTTTCAGCAGCAGATTGATGGTGTGCAGTGTGAATGGCAACCATGGGGTCTTCGCATGTCGTATCGCTCCGCCTCAAGAGAATCCTCACAGCCCACTTATTTACTCCAACATAGTTGGTGCAGTCTGCATTAACCCTGATCTCTCTGATCACCTCCTCCCAAAGTTTTGCGATTGTTATGGCATTCCCTTTTTTGTGCTGCATGTCAGCCACACAAAGAAGAATGGTCCTACCCTTCCCAGCACCAATGAAAGGTGACTCTTCAGCCAAAAATGTCACATTTGTCCATGACATGCTGCACTATCGTCCTAGCCTGTCCATGCTGCACTGGCCTCCACTTCCTGTCTGTCGTGTCATCAAAGGTGACTCTTCAGCCATATACGTCACATTTGTCCATGACATGCTGCATTATCGTCCTAACCTGTCCATGGATGATGGTCATGATTGCTTTGCGGATTGTCTCGAGCGATGGCATCTGCAACTTGGCCTTTGTGGCCACCAATTCCATGTACACGTCGTAAAACATCCGTGCCTCATTGACACACACAATGCTGAAGGGGACTTCTGGATCAGAAGAAAGCCCTCCCCCAATGCGTATCCAAACTCTCTTTTGCAGTGTTTTTGTCCACTCCGGATTGAGGTTTGTGTTTTCTTCCAAACTTGGCAGCGTTGGATGAACCTTCGCAGGGACGTCCCACTTCTGCTGGTTACTATCTTGTCGTTTGTGTCCCCCAAACCGAGCATGCCCCCTGAAACACACAAAGCTCTCTCCATGGCAAAGGTGATGTGCGGAGACGCTCCTCCGAATAGCAAAAAATTGCGTCATACCTGTATCCTCCAACAGGCTGCATTCTGATATCAATATCTTCGACGATGCCTACCCTTTTATCTTCGCCCCTTTGAAAGCAACCTCATGCAATATCTCGCTAGCTCTATACGAGCACAACCAACCCCTTCTCGACCAAGTGTCCCATCGCCCAAGTTATCTAGCTAGCTCTATACGAGCATGACCACCCCTTCTCCACCAAGTCTTCCATCACCCAAGTCTTTATTGCAGTGAACGGCTGGTTGTACAGATTATACAGCGCACCCAGTACTGGCTTAACCTCTTCGCTTTGGTCGGTTGCCCCCTCTTTTTGCACTGGTAAACCACATAGTCAT